AATACACATCAAATAGTTTTCTGGTTGCAATTTTCTAATTTCGACTATGTGTATTGTATGCCTTACACATGCGTGCGTTGAAAGAAATGTTTAATAAAGTAAACAAATAAATATTAAGTTTTTTTTGTAAATTTTGATACCCTTTAAATCATAACTGCTCTTTATTTCATAAATTACGGTTTAATATTTTTAATTTTATAATTTCTGGATGCCATCTTACCAGATTTAAATTGATGGTCCATAATCCGGAATCGCCGAAGTTCCAACAAGTCCAGATTAAAGACTTTGTACCGTACAACATGGAACAGCAATCGTCACTTGAAAGCAAACTACACTTTCGCCAATCTGAGCGATAACTGATTCTTGTTTTGCTCTCGGCCTGTTTACCAAGCGAAGATGGTAACCTGATTTCATTGGAAGTGCCATTCTCAGAATTGGTCCTTCTAACGTTATATTTCGGCAACAAATATCGTATGTGATAGCACTTTCATAATGATACCTGTGTAAAAGAAAGCTTCTTCAAGAAACATTTTCTCACAGCACTACTTCTGAAAATGTGTGAGAGGATTCAATTCAGTGTATGTTTACTTCCACATTGGCAATTCCAATGATGGCATTTGTTTTTGTTAGCCACGGGTTAATTTAAGAATGTTGCCAAGGAAAACTACAATTCTGAAATCATAAAAGATATCAATGCGAAACTCATAAAAGAAAGGCTGTTTCGAAAATAATACGTTACTGAATTTTAATGTTATTCTTAAAAATGTTACCAATGTATTATACCAAAACAAAAATTTGTTGCAATACGATTAGAACTTAACTCTAGAGATTAAAGAAACGGATATAAAAATAAGATGATTTAAAACTCACAGTTCTGCTCAAATATTAAACTTTGTATTTAAAGCACATGCAATTTTACCAGAAAAATAGTTAATTATAATTTATTTTTCGTACTTGCATTGGCTCTCACAGAAACTCCTTTTTAAAAAACTAAAACAGTTGCTGACTGTAAACTGTAAGAGACAAAATTATATAATGGGGAAAAAAAAAAAAAAAAAAAAAAAAAAAAAAAACTGCATTCGAGAGAATTTAATTGCATGGATAATTTGAATGTTTTATTTATTGATTAACACTAGAAATGCCAATTTTCCGTATTTTTTTTAACATACAGCTGAGCTTGGCTGATATTTTTTTACTTTTTCTAAAATGTTTTCAACCATTTTTCATATTTCTACGTTAATTATTTAAATAAATAATCGCAGATATACCTAAAACAGCCAACTGGGGTCATTTTGACCCTCATAAGAAAAACGACATATTTTTAAGCGAATGTCCGTTTTCGAATTCCCGCTGCCACGTTTTCGTTTTCTGCGCATTGGGAAACTCGCAGCTCTTATTGCGATGACTCAGGGGAGAAAAATAAAATCCAGAACGGAGCATATTCTCTCTCCATTGCAATGCCGAGAGGAAGAGGATTGAGTACAAAAGAGTGCCTTGCCCTCCTTGAACAGCTGGAATCAGATATAAGTGGTGATGAAGATTTTAACGTTGATGTGAACTTACAGAATGCGTCACTTTCTGAAAGCAGTGATAGTGATGCTGAGGACAATTCTGGAAATGTGATCCCTATGCGGGAAGCCGGAAGCTCACATAGATGCGGATTTGGTCAAGGATGAGGCAACAACGTTACTGGCAGCAGTAATGAGAAGTATACCTCCTCCAGTGGTATTTTCTGGACCCCTATGAACCTTAGCAGCACTGCTTCCACTTCAGGTTGCATGCCAGCTCGAAATATTGCAACCACTGCATGTGGACCAACGTCGTTTGCTCGTCGTAATATAGGAACAAATCCTGCTTCAGCGTGGCATTTGATGGTGAGTGAATCAATGGAGAAACACATTCAATCACGTACAGTTGCTGAGGCACGATGCCAACTTAGAGATGATAGTAACTGGCATGCTACTCTGGAAGAACTTGATGCCTTTTTTGCCCTCCTGTATGCCCGTGGAGCACTAGGCCATTGAAAACTTTGTGCAGATGATTTGTGGAACAAGAATTGGGGACCACCTGTGTTCAAAGAAACAATGTCACGCAATCGGTTCCGTGAAATAATGCGGTATCTTAGATTCTATGTCCAAAGCACCAGAGCTGATTGTCTCGCCACTAACAAATTTGCTGTCGCTTCTGAAACCTGGTACAAGCTAATGGAAAACTGTTATTTATGCTATAATCCTGGACCAGAAATAACCGTTGATGAACAAATGTTGCCCTGTAAATCAAGATGTAGATTTATCCAGTACATGGCGAATAAACCGGACAAGTTTAGGCATGCAAATTCTGGCTAGCAACTGATGTAAAATCCAAATATGTTTTGAAATGGGTATCCTTATCTGCGCAAGGATGAAGAACGACCGACTAATTTACAACTTGAAAAGTGCAGTTCTCAAATTACTGCAACCAAATCTAAACTCCGGACTCAATGCCACAACTGACAATTTTTTTACTTCTGTGAAACTTGCAGATGAACTTTCTGCGAAAAAAAGACAACTGTCGGGACGATGCGTCTGAATAAGCGAGAATTACCCCCTATTGCTCATGACACTTATTCGGCACGATATTCATCTTTTGCACTGAAAATTGAAGACAAAATACTCACAATATATAAGTGCAAGAGCAAAAAGAATGTCGTGATTCTGAGCACGATACACAGTAATGTGTTTTTTGACGACAGCATAAAGAAAAAACCGAACACAGTCACTTACTACAACAGTACAAAATGTGGCGTTGATGTCGCATATCAGATGCTGAGGAAATATAGTACAAGTAGTGGAAGTCGCAGATGGCCTGAACATGTTTTTTACAATGTCCTTGACATTGCTGCACTCAATGCTTGGATTATATTCAAAGAATCCTTGAGCACCTCTATTTCCCATCATTCCCTCTATTTGCACTTGTGGAAGAACTACGAGTTGGTGCTCTACGCAACAGATGCCCCCTCAATTGCTCAAATACAGACACTTAACGAAAGAAATGTGCATTTCAAAGTTGCAAGGGACAAAACAAGACTGTTGTCAGCTGTGAGGGATGCCAGAAACCAATTTGTGGTAAATGTGTTGCTGTCACTGTCAAGCGTTCATATTGTATCACCTGTGGTAATGTATAACAAACTTCGGAAAACAGTGTGTTTATTCCCAATTTATGCTTTTTTGTAATTTTTTGCATATGTTCTATTTTCCACTTTTTGCATTTGTATCTTTTGTTTGTTTTTCATAGATTTTGTTTTTTTAATCTTATATTGAAAGATATTGTGTGCTAATTTGCACTAATTGCACAGAAAAAAATCTAAAGTATAAAAAATAAATAAAAACCTCTAAAAACTCTTTTATGTGGTCATTTCGGCATCATTTTAATCACTTACTGTGTTTCTACTTACATTTCTTAGGAAGGTCAAATTGACCTCCAATGGCGGCTTTCGGTTCGTCTGAAATTCAGCTATTCTAGTGTTAAATAAAATTCCAAGTATTATTTCCCTACCACACTTTTATACAGCTTTGGCATTTAAAGGTTGCCATTTCAATCTCATAGATTGAGCACACAAACTAATTGTGGTGCATCTTATATCCACTAGACGAATACACTTTTCAATCACAATGTAACCTATTTTTGGTTATTACAAACACTTAGATCACAGATAACTTCATTAAAAAACTAATTCCAACTATTTGCTACTGAAAGTTAAAACTACTGACTAAATCATAATAAACGTTAAAAATATAATGGAGTAATACACGAAATAAAGCAGAGAGCAAGAGGAACATAGTACCTGAAAAGAATGGTTATTACATGCCTCAAATGTGTTTATAAAATTGTCAACACTGTTCTATTATAACGATTTATACAACATATTTATATTTATAAAAGTTTTGGCGGAAGTGTTTCCCAATACATTTAACAGGACCTTATTATACTGTTCAAAACCTTTTATACTTCCAAACAGTAAACAAATATTGTACTTTCAACTCTGCTAATAGAATTAGATTTGTAAGTAATTGACAAGTTCAAGCCAAACAAATTCATTCATTAAAAGTTCTATAAAGAAATTCCAAACAATTTTGATATATTTATAACTTAAAAAAATGGCAAAAATATAATTCTAAAAAACTATACATCTCAGACAGAATGCTCTTTCAACAAAACAACTGCTAAGGATTAGGTTAAACAAATGCAAGATCCATATGCACATATTACACTCATTTCAATACTTGGAAAAAATATCCCTACATGTCTGGAATAAGCACATTCTTGGTTGCAAATGCATTTAGATATAGTTAACTACATATTTATTTTTAATATAGAATTACACCTGTAGTCTGAACCAGATTCTATGAAAAATATAATATTTAACTTATTATTAACTTCTGGCATTATTTTTAATGCTTCTTTCAAATTTGTTGAAAATACATATGCATTAGATTGAGAAGTTAAATTCACATTCATGAAAGCATGTGATAACAATGATCAATAATTTTTGCCCCTTTCATTTTTAACTAATCCAGGTAAAGTTTATTTTTAAATATACACACACATAGATGTTCAACCTTACAGACAGTGATGGAAATGTTAAAAATTCAAATCTACTAGATTATCTAAAGGAGTTTGTTACAGAAATGAAAAAAAAAAAAAAAAAAAAGGTCTCCTCCCACACATATCGCAATTCTCCAGCGTAAAACTAAAAGGCAGCTTTCATTTCCTCTAGTAGTGGTTAAAAAAAACTTCTACCCCCAATAATGAAAAAACATTTACAGAAAATTAATATGCTAAATTATTATTATTAAAAAAAAAACATGCATTTCCATCACTGAAAGTTATCCCACTAAAAAAGCTTAGTTAACCATTTTATAAACACATAAAATATCAGCAAACATATCACAAAACTTATAATAAATACATAAATAGCCCAGTTGACGGACAAATCCCGCCCTGGCAGCTCACTTAAATACCTGTGCCCAATTTTTTCCTTGTGTTTCCCCATCGCCTTTTCTGCTATTTCTTGTGATGCAAACTGTACGTAAGCCTCCCCAGTGCTTCTCCCCTGGAAGTCAGTTGGTAGGGTAATCCCATTTCGGACAATCTCCAACCCTTTAAATTAAAATCCAACCCATTATAGGTCACTAAAAATAAACTTCAGCAAAACATCAATGAAACCTGTGCTTTCATAAAGACTTCCTGATTGCACAAGTTACTGAAATAGAAACTATGCGTAAAGCATTAATACATATTACTGATCTCTTTTTCTAGAGGTAAAAACTGAAAATAAACTTTCATGAGAGAATTTTTAGTTTCAAGAGCATAATTTCAGTTTATATAAAAAATAGTATTATGTATTTAAGTAATCGAAATAAATAAAAAAGTACACATGTAATATTTCAAATTTTTTCATAATAACAATAATGTATAATAATCTAATTTTAATTACTTCAGAATATATATACTTCACAGATTATAATAAAGGAAATAAACAATTAAAAATATTTAGTGGCCAAATTATAATAATTCATCTACTAATCCTTTTAAGAGTATTACATGTACTAAAATAATATTCCCAAACAGCTGTTCTGATTTACTTTTTTATAAAATATATCACATGATAAAACTAAATAAATCAGTATGAATATTATCAGCATTTTAATTTATGTAGTTTGCAGACTTGCCATTCTGCACTGCACCAAGTTATTAGCAAAGTAACTTTTTGAATGTTGTTGTCTTCCCCATAAAAAGTAATTACTATTGAAAATCAATAAATAATAGAAAGTGGAAATGGAAGGCTCAAATATTCGATTTAAATTTCATCTGTAAATTTTATACCTGAATTTAAGTATATCAAAAGCTTCATCAACATTTCTCTTACTAAAAATGTTATGTAATTTGTGTACTATTTATTTATGAACAGACTGTACTTAACAGAATATGAAAAATTACTCAATTTAAACCTACTTGTTAAAGTAGAATTGGACATTTAATCAAAGACTATAACAACAATGTTGAAATCTTAATACATCTCACTTTTCCCTCAGTAGACAGCATTGACTTTATTAGTAAAATATTTCAATAGCTCTCAACACATATACCACCATACATATGGACAATGAATACTCATAACTATCAAATATGATATTCAATCCCTTTTAAGTTTATATAAATTTTTTTTGGGAGGGGGGTAAAAGAAATCAAAGCGCAATAAACGCTTAAAAATACCCAATACGTTAATGATTTTAGCAAGATTCTTAAATAAAATTCCAAACAGTAAATCCTATTGTAATTTAATCCAAGCTTTGTTAAAAAAAATAAGTGAGTTAGTACTACCACGATGAAAGCACCAAGCTGGCGAATATATGCAGTGCCTGCTACTTATGTTCAAATTTCCTGGAAACAAAATAGATACAATAGAAAAACTAATGTTTATTAAAACCATCTCAGCTACTTACAAACTCACCTAGCGAAAGACCGATTTTTCAGCGGCAGAATATCCTTATTTGTACCTATCAAGGTTTCCCACACTGTTCACCCATTTAAGACATTGTGGACTTTATTATTGTTGAGGTATGTAGCTTCAATAAAATGGGTTTGACCAAAATTTTCCTACTCCCCGGTGACTGTAAGACACTTTACACTGGATTTCGAAGGCCCAGAATTTCTTTATTTTACGTTAACAAACAGAATCTTCCAGACCCATTAGCAACAAGTGACAGTTCCATAACTAATACCAGATGACAGAATTGCAGCTCTTGTATCCCATCTTTTAAGGTCCCCCACATCCAAAAGCTTCTCTTTGGGACAGCCATTTATTTTATGCTTACCGAGAGTTATATGAGGGTCAGCCCTAAATTTTTTAGATAAACACGTGCTTTTAAAGTTATACTTACAAAATTTTAAGAGTGTTTAAAGTGGTCTCCTCCAGCATCAATACAATTCTGCAGACAAGTTTTCCAAAGATTAAATGCCTCAAACCCATTCATTTCATGGAATCAATGAAAAAATGTATTTATATCTCCATCAATCTTATCTTTGAAATGAAAACGATGTCCATTTAAGTTTTTTTTTTTTTTTTTTTAAAGATTAAAAAATAGCTAAAAGTCGCACATAGCTGGATCGGGAGAATAGAGTGGGTGTTTTACCAATTTGATGTACTCTTCCCCTCCACGAAACTCAACAGTCAATTTTGCTGAATGAGAAGCTGCATTATCATGGTGGAGCATAAGTCCTCCAACATTAACTTGAAGAATTTCCTCGAAGATACTGTGGTGTACCAATTAACTGTGATTGCCTTTCCTTTCAGCTTGATCACTTTGACCAGTCCTGTATTTCTGAAGAAACCGGCATACATTACTTTTTTTCATGGCACACTGTCTTTTCATCATTGTGAGCATAGAATCATGTTCAAAGACCCATCTTTTACTTTCTTCACATGTTAGAAAGTAAATAATTACTTAAAAAAAAAAAAAAAAAAAAAAAAAAAAAAAAAAAAAAAAAGGAGGTATGTTTTATCACTAGTTACGACTAAAGAAATAATGTGGTGGACACTACCAGGGTTTCTTTACTGATTCTGACAGGTTCCTCTTTTTGGTACTTTCTTAAATTATGGGGGAAACCAATGGCAAACTAGCTTTTTATATGCAATTCTTCATGAAGAATTCTCTGTATGATGGTGGATTCAAAGTTAAGTTCCTTCCATATCCAGGGGTGTTTGTGGGATTCCAAAAAAATCCCCTGAAACTTTTACGGACTTACTACCGACATTTTGGAGTTTCGAGAAGATTGGGGGAGAGAAATGAAAAATTACAATTATGAAGTATTAAATGACCTAATTATAAAAGTTCAATGAATTACTTTTTTTGCAAAATTAATAACCATAAATTTTCAAACATATAAACTACTACATTTTATGTGAATATTTTAAATTACCTGAATTAATTCTTTAAAAAAATTATCTAATTTCTTCTGCTTTTTTTTATTTTCTGATGTTTGTGGGCTTGTCTTTCTTTTGTGGTGAACTTCATAATTGCAGGAAGGTTGACTTTTATTTTCCTCATTTACAGTTGAAGAAATTTCCTTGAGAACTGCACATGCAGAGGTAGAAGCAGTTTGCCTTTCTGCTAATGTAGAAGGTTTTTCAGAGACTTTTATAGGTGACTCATCCGAAATGCATGCTTTTAAGTCCTTTTGATATGTTTTCCAACTTCTGTTCATATTCAGTAAGAGATCTTTGTGAATTGGATCAGTCATTGGATTTTTTTAGCCATATTTTTCACATGAGGTTTCTTTAGAAGCCATTAAATCATACTTAATAGTCTGCACTGCATCTAGGGAATCAATCTTAAGAGAGGTTCTATAGTCAGTGACAAGTGTATCCATTAAGTTGAGTGCACTTTCCACTAATGGGCCATGGATGCAGCTAAGGCAGGCTTTGACCAATTTAGCCAATGTAGGATACTTATAATCATTTGTGAAATCATCTTTTAAATTAAAAATTTTAGACCAATATTTATCAATTGTACACTTGACTTGATTTCCACTTTCATCAGATGTGTACAGCATTTCTTTGGTGATATCAATATCACTCTGGTATAACCTTATTTCAGCTTCTACTTTTGACTTTTCATTATCACTAAAAATATGGGACATAAAAGATGATCATTTTTCAAAAGCTAATATTGTACTGGTTTTACCTCTTAGCTCTGGATGTAATGCTGTAAAACTAATTAGATATGAATTTTTAAGGGGTAATTTCTGTTTCATATGCTGTGCTGTATTAGTATAAGCTTTCATCAGAGAAATTTGGAATTCTTTTGCTATTGGATGATTTGATAATTTCTTCAGGAGAGTGGAAGCTTCTGCACCAGTAAATATTACTTTGCTAGGTAGATGGAATTCTGGATTTGTGACATCAACCTTTAATAAATCATTATAAGATGTGCACTCTATATACTTATATTTTCTGGCTTCATAAAAAAAAAGAAAAAAAAATTTGCCATCAATTTATAAATACTGGAATGTATTAAATGAAGCATTGGTTTTTTTGTTTCAAATAATTTAATATATGCGTTGAACTCAGGTAATACTGCTGAATATAATGCCATATGCAATAAAGTTTTGTTTTGCATAACAAATAACCCATTTAGTATTCTTTTTTTCCGAGCTAAAGCATCCTTTGTGAGTTGTTGGGAATGCAAGCAAGAATAGACCCTGTCAACAATTTTTTTCTGAGCTGCAGAAATATTTCTTTTAATGTATACAGTTTCAACATAAGAAAAATAATCCCCTTTATCAGTTTGATCCAAGTAGTGAAAATAAAATGCAATAAGAGCATTCCACAGATCTTTTGATTCTTTCTAAAACACATAAAATGTACACCCACCTATGGTCTGGTCTCTTCAAGGGCTTAAGTTTTTTAATGGCAAGGGATTCACAGATTTTGAAAAAAATTTCTCTTTTACTGCAGCTTTTCATATCAAAATAGATGTCATCAAACAAATCTTCTAAGTATCTACCAAAACATGAAGCAAATTTTTTTGCACAGTTATTAGCTGTGTGACATGTGTCACCATCAATATCTAATAAGTGAGGTGCTTTGTTTCATCGTAGTCTGGTTTCAACAGCCTTTTTTTTTCCACGCATGGTGTTACATGAGTCCATTAATACAATAATTAAGTTTGCCCATGGAATATTATTATCTTCAATTTTAAAGCAACAACTGCTTTAAAAACAGCTTCTGAATTGCAAGATTCCATCTTTAGAGATGCAAAATGATGAACTACAACTTCATTTTGATTGTTGTCATAAAACTGCACCAATATTGCCAGTATACTTTCTTGAGCATTGCTAGTACTTTCATCGAAATTTAGAGAAAATGGAGTCTCCTTTAAAGTTTTAATGATATTTTCCTTAATAGTTTTTGCGAGCCCATATTTCATCTTATAACATGCAGTAGTCCTGGACATTTCCAACGAGTTTAGTGCCGTCTGATCGCGGCTCAACTGTTTGCAGAGTTAATTAAATTGGGAGCTAAATTGAAAGAAAGAGAATTCTCGGCGATAAACGAAGTTATTAATACCTCTTGGCGTGCTTTTCTTGTCACTATATCCAATGGTCGAGCATCAGTCTCCAGTAAGTCATCAGTATTTTTTGAATTGGCATAATTACTTAAAAGTCATTGAATGTCTAATGCACCTTGAATATTTTATGTGCGTCACAGTTTTAGAATGATTTGTGAAAGCCTTGAATCCTTCCCCACCATACTTCAGCAGTGAGTTACAAAAAACACAGTCTGCTTGTCCAGCAACATTTATTTTCTTGCACCATGTGCCGATGGTATCCACATTACCATCTCTAATTCCACCTAAATGCATTCCGTACACCTTCTTCTAATTGTGTAATATCACTATTTATATCGAGAAATTTCATAGTGAAATTCTTTTGCGTACATAAATAAAAAAAATATTTCAATAAATGAAACGAAAAATTTACACGTGCATCAATAAATGAAAGGAAAATTTTACACAGCGGAGAAAAAAAAGTTGAGAAGAGATCAATGACAAATAGCTAATACCGCGAAAAATCCCCCTTCTCTACTTATTGGCACCACGCCAGGAGAGATAAGAGCTTTGAACCCAGAGTCACGTGATCGCACATATAGTCAAACGAAGTCTCTCCCTTTTTTTCCTAACCGGGGAAATGAGTCATAACTCGCAATAAGGAAAGAACAAAAAAGAAGTTTTTCCTCCCTTTTTGCGCATTATCACTGCCTTTGGAGAAAGAAAGGAAAAGTTTCCACCACACAAACACTGACCTTGCGTTTTCTGCTTTCAAAAACAAAATTACCCAGATAAAAATAAATAATTCATTATTATTCCTACTTCCTTTTGAACGACGATACCCGGAATTTCGAAGTTCAAAATCCCTGGTATTCCGGCGTTTTCCCGGAGCACAAACACCCCTGCATATCATTCGGTAGGTGTAGTCATTATTTTCGCTTAACATTTTCTGTATGGCAGAGATATTACCGCGATTACAGACGACAATGGTCTTCCTGGGTGTTCTTCATCCTGAAGAGAGTTGAGACCTCTGCGAGATTCTGTAAACCATCTGAATACAGTAGCATGAGATGAATCTCCATTTCCAAATGCTAATTTAGATATTGAATGCATTCTTCTTGATTTAATCCCACTTTAAAATCATAGTGTAATAATGCTCTCACATCAAATTCCATTTTTCCTTCAGCCTAAAATTTATTTTAAGCTAAACTACTTACAAATGGCCAATAAAAAATTGTCTACTAGGCTAAAATAGTTCATACTTTTGAATCTGTTTTTCTCCCCTGCCACTAACATCTGTCTGCATGTATTTAAAAAATTTCAGAGTTAACTCTATACAAATCAGTTCATGAAATGCTTAGCATTATTATACATTAACAATCTTTGAATGGAAAGGAAGTTGTAAATGTTAGCTGCAGAAAATGTAAAGAAAGCATTGATCATGCTTGTAATCTGTGATAGTTTTAGAACATTTAAATGTTAGAAAGTAACAATCATCAGACACATTATTTTAATTTCTGAAATTAATACTTTTTATCATTTGCCCAGTGTACCTGTAACAGCTTTCAGCAAGTGTTGCTTTTCAGTTTTTAAATATTTGCCATTTCTTTTCTTCAATTTATGCTTGCTTACCTCATAAAAAGCTTTTCTCAGGGCTAAAAGTACTGTTAATAATATTTTACACTTGAATTTATTTAATTTTTGTTTTTAATTGTTTTCTTGCAAATGTGTTTTTATTAATGTAGAGTCGTGATGAATTTTAGTAGTAAGCATTATCAAAAGTCTAATTCCATATTACACCCCCCAAACACATGTGCATGTATTGGACTATTACTGTACTGGTCAGTACTACTGGACTATTCACATAAAAATCTGTCATATTAAATATTTATATAAAAAATGGTGATCATAGCAGATATTTCTGAACATAAATTGGTAGATTAAAAATCATTATAGCCTGGAATACACTTTTTGAAATGCTATTCGCCTTTTAACATTTTGTGAATTTTATTATTCATGTTGAACATTGTGATAGATAAATGAAAACAGAAAATACAAAAAATAATTCTGATTAATTATGAACACAGTTTACTGGCATTAGAAATATCTAAACTTTAGTTTTTCTATATTCTGCATCTGAACCGAGAGTTAAAGTTATTAAAATAATTGGCGTTGAAGTCAAAAGTGCATAAGATTTTTTTGTACCTTTCAGTTGCAAACTTAAGATACAAGCTGCAATCAACAAATATGACGAATGATTGCTTTCATAACTTATCTGCAAGAAATATAGTACATGTATGCAGGAATGCAGCTAAGCTTATTTATCCTCCCCTGCCCTCCCCAAAACCCACTCCCACCACCCCAAGTTTGAAGCACATTTTCATATTCTCATGTGTCTCCCTTTCACTAGCAACGGTGTCCTTAATTTTCACAACTCATATGTACAAACTACCTGCCTAGACAATCAAATGGCTTCCTGAATAACGACTGATAAATCTTGGTATCGACTGACCTGAGCAACAAGTATAGTTGTTTCATATCATTATTTAATAGTTGGGTTATTTAAATCACAAAAGCTACATGAATAAAGAGATGGAGGAGAGATACTGTCATGAAGGATTTTCTAAGGAAAACTGCCTTATATTCACTTCATACATCGAGAAAATATCCCATGAAACCAATCCATTCACCTTGCATTGAACCTTGGTCAAACGTGCAGCATTTAGCACTCTTAACACTGGTGGGGCTATTATATTTTACTTTTATATTTATATATATTTTATATAGATGGCTTGCGACAATACAGCTGCCAACCATAAAACCGAAATGCCAAACAAATACTACATCATATGATTAACTGTAAAGAAATTCAAAGCTCTAGGAATATCGATACATTAAGATACTAAGCACCCCAGAATTTGTTATTTATGAACAGAACCAGTGTAGAAGTTGCTATATCATTAGTGCTACATATAAATTTAGCATAATTTTATGCCATTTTTTATATATACATTAAAAGGTAAATTCTGCTCACCGGTCAGTTAAACTACGAAACAATAAATTTTGAAAGTAATATTACTTGCTATACATAAAAATTAATTCAAACTTAAAATTCTGGCGTTAAAAAAACTTTATAACCAATCCTAACTTGTAATAATTAAACATGATTAGAGTACTTTTTTCAAATTTCTTACAGCACAGAAAAGATCAAATACATTATGAAAAAGTATTTGATAAGTACCAAATATATAGTTAAAATATAGGATTTTTCAAAATCACCTGTAAAAAATTGAGCTATTTCCTCTTTGGAGCAACCAAATGGTAAACCTCTTAACCTTACACAAGCATCCCCAAATGCTTCTTCACCATCAAGACCACATCTCCTTAAAGCCCACTCCATTTCATTTTGCTTGGAACGAAATACTGTGGTGGGGGAAAAAAAAACTTTCATTGGTAAGAGGCAAACAGTTAATAAAAGCTCTGAAGTTTATTATATATTATAATACATTACATAAATTAAGATGGTATGGAAAGCCTGAATAGTCTAAGAAGCTGAATTAAATTAATATCAAGAATGTTAAATTTCAACGTTTTTACAAAAACTTAATTTAAACAGTTCACATTCAGCAGCAAAGAAGTTAAAAGTAAGATACACAATTTATAATCATTATAATATTCAGTATTTAACAGTACTAGAATTTTTATTCAATTAACATATGAACTCTAATACCAATTTCATTACAGAATTTTAACTTAGAAAAAAAGGATAACAGTAAAATAAAAAGAGACGACGACAATACAGTACAAAGTCTGAAACCCGAACACATCTATCCCAGATTTGGCATTTTTCCTGATATTAGATCAGTTTAAATCTAGTAAGATGGCACATAGAAATTATAAAATCAAAAATCTGAAAATGTGATTTATGAAATAGTGATGTATTTATGATCTAAAGGATATCAAAATTTACAAAAAAATAAATTAATATTTACTTGTTTACCTTATTAAATATTTCTTTCAATGTAAGTTGTTAAAGTTGCTTCCTGTTTTTTATGCTAATATTTTCTCTTTAATTCTATAGACAGACATAATCTTTTGTTCAGTTACATTGTTGAAGTCTTGTAACTGTCATTTCGAGAATTCCAACTAACTTGTCAATCGAAATTTTCTTGTTTTCAGTAACTTCTCTGTCACTTTCTTCACTATCCTTAGCGGTATTTTCTGGATCTAGAACCATACTACGGATTTCGCCTTTCATCGATTGATGATTGAGAAGCATTGTCATCACAATGAAAAAGTTCTTTTATATCTCTCTTCATTTATTACCATTTTCTCCACATTTCCTTACAAAATCCATTATTGAAAATTTCACTTTTGTTTTGCGATATCAAAAAACCTTTAAAATTGGCAGCTATCATCATCAAATTTAGCTATTCTTCACTGTACATATTTGGCTATGCATCATGAGCTTGGCGGCAAACGAAATGTTGTTCTGTTAAATATTATCTCGCTTTTATTGCACACTGAGATAATTAAGCCTGAATTGTATTAGTTATTATAGTTATGTCTATCTCTTAAGCCTTAAGCATGTGCAAGAGATATGTTCCCATATATACTTAAGCTTATTGAGGCCCAGCGCTAGATAGTGTTACGAATTTGGTATTTAAAAAGCTAATGTTAGTTCAATTATAAATTAAATGGTTTTATTTCTCGCGCAGTGCAGCGCGTGACGAATATTAAAAGAAAGCTAAGCCGGAAAAATTGAAAATACAAGAGCGCGTGCATTAAATAAATAAATATCTCTTTTTGATTTCGAGAAATACTGGAAAATTCTAGCGCGTGATTTTAAAATCTTATAAAAGGAGGAAAACATCTCAGTTTGTAGAGTTGCTTAGTTTGTTGTTGTTTAGAAAACTACTGTTGTTGATTGTAGCGAATTCGCGGATTAGCGTTCTTTAGCTGTTTTGAATTACGTTCTATTGGACATTTGAGTAGTTAAAAGAAAACTACTGTGAGATATTGTAATACTGCATGATAATTTGAGAAATTTAAGCATTTTTTTGTTGCGATAATAATAAATTTTTGTTCATTTTTCATCGGACTTGTGCATTCATTTCATAACGAACCCGTACGCATGCAACAATATCTTACTGCCTGATGCAGTCTCTGTGGGTCCTAAATTCTTGATGCGGCCACACGACCCCTGGCACTCTGGGTTTATGTGAATAACAAATCAGTTATTCTTAATTCAAATAGCCTTAAATGCAATCTTTTGGTTTAACAACATCAACAAAATCTTATTTTTAGCATATGGAAAGAAATTTTTGGTAAATTCATTTAACTTAAATCTGTAATCATTGCCAAACATAATGTCAACATAAAAGGTTACCATGATTCTTTATTATTCAATTTCTAACATAAAAAAAAAAAAAAAAAAAAAAAAAGAGTTTAGGCATCGTTACACTAGTCATCATTCAAGGTGTCATGTTTTCATAAACATGCGGTGATGAAAGGAAAATATAATAAATAACGATATATTTATGTGGAATGTTTCGGTTTGAGATGTGTGCCAAGCAGATATGCAACAACAAAGCCAAATTACTGATGCTACAAATTTAAATGATTGTTTCTTTAATTAACAAGGTATTTTATTTAGTGTTGAAGTGAAATTAAGAATCGTAACTCTCCAGATGTTTTATTAAGTGTAGAGAGGGGAGATCAAATGTTCCAGCGTAAAGTGTACGAGAAACCGTTGTTTATGGTTTTGAGGCCCATATTTTAGATCATTCTGGATAATTGGCGTCCGGATTTCGGACTTGGTAGTGTATACAATTTTTAGCAATGCCAATAAGTGAGAAAGTGGGGATACAATTGCTTTCTTCTTATTTTTTCTGTTAAGTTATACACCCTTTTAAAAAGCGATATCCTTTTGTTTTGGTATAGGAAAATTACCTTAATGCAGCATGATATCCACAGCAATAATACAGCACATACATAGTGATGTGTGATGCTATTAATTATATGGTTTATCAGTTCTGTAGTAAGAGAAAGCCATCATTCTTGCAAAGCAGTTGCAAGAAGGGTCTCAAGAAGAGGATTGAGAATGGCTATGCATCTTCTTAAAGCATCTCATACATGCTAGGTAGAATTCAGATCCGGTGATAGAGGCGGTCATTCTATTTGCTGAGGATAATCATCCACGATGAGACCCTGTGGGATCTAGCACTGCCATCCTGTAACAGGAAATTATTACCTATCAAACCAGCAAAAAAGTGAACATAAGCTTCAAGGATGTCATCTCTACATGTCTGAGAATTCAATTTCACATAGAAAGAGGGAAGTTTGTACATCCACCCAAAGAAATACCACTACAAACATTGCCTCCTCCGTATGCATATCTTTCACGTATGCTTGATCCAAGTTCTTCCAAAATCAGATAATGCTCACTATCACTTTGAGGGGATAAACCTGGACTTATCAGTAAAGAGAACAGCCTTCCAATGATCAGCCGTGTCCAGTGAGCGTTGATGTACCTACGTCAAACGTCTTTTCCCGCGACATGACAAATATACAAATAGCTGGTCACTTTGCATACAGGCCTCATATGTGAAACCTCTTAAATACAGCTTACATTAACCAACTTTATAATGGCTGCAGCAAGGGAGATTTGAGTCGGAGTTCTATTCCTTCGTTGCATATAAAAACAAATATTGATTATCAGCACTCATAATGGTCAAAAATCCTTGGCTGAACATCAAAGTCTATGATCTACAGAAAGACTCGCATTTAGCCATCTGACAAGCTCCCAATATAGCTCTCCATCGCAGTTCTTAGGGAAATGATGCCAGGAGGCCATTGTTACAAACTGGCTATCCCAGATTCCTAATCACGGTATCACAGCGAAATTACCTGGCTTTCTCTAAAACATGCAATTTCATGCTCCTTGCAGATGATGCATTCTGACTGCAGTACCACTAATTTGAATACAGCAGTTTTAGCAATTCTTATTTGACAACATATTCAAATTTTATACGTGGATTGGCTTATTTTTGAATGAGTTATCTCTATTTTTGGAAACCAGTGTACGAAGTTCAGTTAATAAACATTTCACAATTAAAAATGCTTCATACACACTTCTGCATGTGGAAATAGTACTTGTTAGGGCCATCAATGAAAAAAGGATCTATCACGTAAACAGGAACTGAATAAACTAAAGCAAGTATCTAAATAAAAATTTCACTTTTGCAATTTGTAAGGATATAATAAATCTGCAAGAAGGATGCATTGTTATTAAACATAATGAATATTTAGGTTAATTGTAAAACAAATTTAAGAATAAAATCTACTTCATAATTTTTTCCAAGTAATTAACATTAGTATTTCAACATAAATGCGTGTTATATGTGCGCTCCTTGCATCGTGAAAGAAAAGCAGCACCTACAGTTGTCACATTATGAACACTCAAATTCTGAATTTGCATTTTATTTATTGACTTTACATTTTTTGTGAATTAACTGCACCTACAAAATTAACACGTTGAACTTATTAAAATGAATTATGTATTTCTTCTTTTTATAATAATTATTTTAGGTAGCTGGCCATGCAAGCAGCTAGTTACAAGAAAAAAGTGATTTCAGATGGCAGAAATAGTGATTTGAGCTAAAATAACGAAATACTAAATTAAACTAATAACTTTCACGAGAAATTTTGGAAATAAGTGAAAGTTTGGAGAAATATGTTGTAAACTGTCTGGTGAGAAAGGGATAAAAAAATTGAAAATACTCCATTAAATCAGGCAAGTCTGTAAGTCAAACAATTTTGCTGAATGTTTTTCACTTACACATGAAAATAAAAGTTGAGCCTGGTTACTAGTTCCACATAAAATGTTATTACTACACAAGAAATAAAATTTGGAGAATATATGAATACCTTCAATGTATCTGCTACCAAGATGTTCATTATTTTTTTCAAGTCCTTTAGCAGTATCCTGCTCTGTTTCAAATTCAACATAAGCTTCACCACTTGGTCGTCCCTCCCTTGACATAGTTAGATGAATTCCACTCGGACCATTTTTAATCTTGCAACCTTTAAATAAAACAATTTTTTAATACATCAAAATGTCATAAAGCTGTTTAGATTAACTTTCCTTTTTCTTAAAACACTCAGTGTGCTACTCATGAAACTGATATTTATTTAAAATTTATGTTAATAAAGTTTTTTCTGGTGGAGTCTCATTTTATATACATAGATGTGCTAGTCTTCCATACATATTTAAGAGTGCTTTTGAAACAATAATGCGAGTTATGAGTAGTAGATAATTACATTTATTTCATTTTAATTAAAAAAAACCTATTTTGTTGATGAAATGTTAAAACCAAATGCCACACTATACACATAAAACATTCAATATGCCATTCTGAGTATATTTTGAAGTACTTTTTAAAAATGTAATAAAAATTAGTAACACACAAGACACTCACATAAAGAAAAAATTCATAATTAATTGTCAGTATCAGTGTTAATATTTTTTAGCAAACTTGAAGAGAGTCAGAAGTAATAAAAACAATGAAAATCCAGTAAATAATAAATTTCAATCTTGTCATAAGACATAATTTTATCATAGCCTCTAAAAAATAAGCACTTTTATTTACTTTCAGAAAAGAGACCTCACAACAAACCATGGTGCCCAGGGATCACGAACTGAGCTCTATTAAATAATTATTGTGAAAAGACATCAATCTTTCCTTGCAAGTTTAACTTATTCTATATACTCAAATTTAGTCTTTTAAAGTTTTTACAAACCACAGCTTCTTTTTTAAGCCATCTAAATTCATTTACCTTGGGCTTACATTAAATCAGTTTCTGTTTGACATTTTTACACACATAATTTATTTTATGTAAACTTTGGAGAATTTCATTTCTTACCAAGATAATAATATTAATTTTTAATTAGTAATTACTATCGGTATCTTTAGAACTGTATAAAAATTATACTTTTTTTCATAAGATGCAGAAAATACTCTCCAAGACAACTGACTAGCTATGCCACCAGACATTCTGTTAAACTAGTCATCTCAAACAGAACATTCCTTGTTTCAGTTAGAGACAAATAATGAAACAGAAAGAAGGTATAAGGATTTTATTAAAAAAATATGAATTACAAAGAAGCAAATTTGATAAATACCAAACAAAGCTTACTAAAATATTGAACTTTTATTTAAATTAAGACAAAACGAGAGGATAGCTTAAATTTAAAGGAAATATATCAACAGCTTATTTCTGTCAATTTCTTAGTATCCAATGTTTTATTTATTATTTTTACACAGCACCCTTTAAAGTACATTAAAATGCCTTTTATTTTTCAATACCTATTATAAAATTTTTATATTTAGATTTTCATATTTTAAAATCTTAATGCAGTTTAAAGTAGAAATTTTAGACTATTTGGGTATTTATCTAAACCTACTTCAGAAATCAATCAAAATTTAGAGATAATAACCGACGCTTTAATCATTTATACTGCCTAAAAACCAGGGCTGTGGAGTTGGGCAGATTTTGGGGTAAAAGGAGTTGGAGCCGCTAAAAACAGGTCGACTAAGACTCAAGTTTTTATTGGACAGTTTGAATTTGAAATGAAATTAAAATGAATTGAAAAAAAATTTACAACTGAGTTATTTTTATGGACTATATGCCCTAATAAATAGTTATTTTCTATTTTATTGACATATTAATAAATATATGGAAGGAGGATGAATATGATATTTGCCATTAGTGATTAAACTGATCCGTTTAGTTACAAATCTCACTGGTAAATTCAGGTAAGCAGAAATAGCAGCAAGAACTGCCAAAATTGATGCTGTTCTTAGGAAGTGAGCAGGAAAAGGAGCAATTATTGATCAAACAACGTGATAAGGAAGTACATATTTTATGATAAAGAGGTTGTTAGAATTAAGAACTTTTTTAGAAGATGTAGATAACCCTAATATTTCAATAACAGAAGGACTGTGCAATGATCTTTCAGAACTGGAAACTCTTCTTACAACACCGTATATAGTTATAAAAAAGTTACAATCTGAAGAATTAACAGAAGATGAGAATGTTAGAAAATGTAGACAACTCTAATTAATGTTTTACTAACAGAAAGACTGCAGAATGATCTTGCAGAATTGGAAACTCTTCTTTCTACATCGTATATAGCCACAAAAAAGCTACAATCTGAAGAATTGACAGGAGGCGAGAATGGAAGAATGTGAAGTTTTTCTTTCTGAAATGGAAGGTTTATTGCATAAGGAATAATTTCTTCAATGAAGAAAAGAGAAACTAGTTTGCTAGTCAATAAGATCTTGCTTGGTTCAATACAGTACAAAGCCTGTATTCCGGACTCGTCGGGACTTCGGCGATTCCGGATTATAGATCATCAATTTAAATCTGGTAAGATGGCATGCACAAATTATAACCGTAATTTATGAAATAAAAAGTAATTATTATCTAAAGAGTATCAAATTTTACAAAAAAAAAAAAAAAAAAAAAAAAAAAAAAAAAAAAGAGCTTAATATTTATTTGTTTCAACGAGCGCATGTGTAAAGCATACGCGAGAAATGTATGCGCATTCTTTATGCGCATGCGTAAAGTTTGTGGCTTTGAGGTCCGAATTATAGATCATTCCGGATAATGGACGTCCAGATGACGGACTTTGTACTGTATATGTAGATTCAAAACAACAAATTTTGTTGGATGACGAACAAATTAAAAAAGGCAAAGAAAGCTATACATGAACTTTCATTAAAAATAAAATTATTCTCAGAACAACTGGAGTGTTCAAATCAGGACATTCAAACTGTAGACATTACAACATTTTTTTTTTTTTTTTTTCTTGTGTCATTGAAACATTCTCTTCTATTGATGAATTAGATTTTGAGAAATAATTTGATAACATTGAAAAGACTAAGGCGAAGGCAAAGCAAATGAAAATAAAGGACTAAGAGTGTTTAGATATAAAAATGAAAAAATACAACCAAGATTTCTACACAGCCTTTGAAGAAATAGAGAAATATGATTGCACTGCGCTTGCAAGATACCTCTTTCAGAAACTATGAAAATCTATCCTGAAAAGTTAAAAGAAGTAGCCCTAACAGCAACATCTCTTCCTCCTACTCAAGCTAGTGTGGAAAGACTCTTCTCAGCTCTGAAGTTTATGAAATCGGATCTATGGCCCACCAACAAAGATCTTGCCGAAGTTGTCCTGTTTCTTAGAAATAACTAATGCCAGTTTTCCCATCTTATAATAAATGCTAATTAATATAAATAATTTGCTTTGCCATTATTTTTTTCTATAGCATCTACTACTACTTTTATATTAAAAAAATAAGTATGTGTATATGCTTACATATATATATCTATATATGAGGGAGTCCAGGAGTCTATCATTTTCCCTACCGACTCCACAGCCCTGCTAAAAAGTTTCAAAAAGAACAAATATACTCATCTCTACAGCATAAAGCATACATTTTTCTGGAATATATTTAGACCTGTATTGAAATTAAATACTATTTCTCTAACAGTTAGTGAAAATTAGCGAATTTAGATTAGAAAAAAATATGCAATGATTTCTTTTAAACATCATTATTATTTTACATATCAACATAATAGTTAAAAGAAAACAGGTTTACCATCGAAAAATTTGATAATGTCATCCTTTGAGGCTGACCATGGCAAACCCCGTACACGAAGAACAAATGGATCAAAATCTTCAGATTCCTCTTTGGCTCTGAAAGGAATATTTTGAATGAATTAAGTCATATATGCTTAGTAAATATACTTATTTAGATTAAAAATGAAATATATACGAGCAATGTTTGATACTAATTATACTTTTTCATAGTCTTGGTTTTATCAATATATTAACCCTTTCCGGCACAGTGTGAACACACCAAAAATATTCCCTCTTTAGACACTGAAAATAATCGATAACTCTCACGAAAACTACACTAATGGTTACTTTTAATCTCTTTTATGAATAATAGAGGGCAGCACCACACAAACAAATCATTAACGTTGAGCTATATTCTGTTTTTAAAGAGACTGATTTTTCAAAGAAATGTTTCAGATTTTTTTTTAAATACAAAGAATATCAATGAAAAAATCTTTATATAATTTTGTTGTCCGTATGCTAATCTGCCTATTCTGTATTACTTTTAATTTTTATCTTATTGCAGTGAGGCCTTCAGTGTATGGTGTGTTCGAACTAAACACACAGTACTGGTAGCGCCTGTCAAGTGAGAGTTGGTCACAGATTTATTTATATTTGTTTTTATTCTTTTCTGTTTTGGAATTTGAAGACCACGGTGCTTTGTTTTCACTTAGCTAATGATTTTCAGCAAGAGCAGACTCTTTTTTTTCTCTTGCTTTCATCATGCATAATTTGCTTAGTTTTGATTTCTGTAGATTTTTATTTGTATATATATTTAATAATTATTTTTTTAAGTCAATAATTAATTGTAAATATTATGGTATTTTAATTATTTTTCTTATAAATTTAAAAGAGGCCTCAGCATTCCTGAAGCAATGAGTGTTTCATTTCCCCCGTTTTTTTTTGGGGGGGGTAGAGTAGCAGACCTCCCCATGGTGCACCCTGCTGCTAAATCTTCTATAGAGATCAGATTCTACTGTTTTAAATCACCGACATAGTATTTTACTGTAGTACGCGCTTCACAGGAATGCTCACCCATCACAGCTCATGCGGCTCAGTGCATTCGCTTTGGACCAGGGATAAATCAGGGCTAGGTCATTCCTTTGTTCGACTCTTTGCCTACGCGAACCTCATGGAAGGGGTTAACTGGAAGTGATCTGACGTGTCTGTGTTGCACCTGCTTTGATTTCGTATGTTTAAAACTGTAGTTTCATTTAGTTACGAGAGGGTTGGCTAATCTTTGGAATATGGTAACAGGTAGATTGGCGACATTTTGGTAAGACAATAAAGGTTACTAGCTAGGACTTTAGCAGTGTACATGGATAAAGTCAAGAGTGCGCACAATGCCATCTTTGTGCAATTCTGGGATGTTTTTTAAAGTGAAAATAGGTCGGCGTGTACATGGATGATACCGTGTACGTGCAATTCTTAAAAACGTGGCAAGCAGTGGGCGATTCTGCACTTTCTCCCAATTTCGCACCTAATCTTCGTCATGATTAAGCACTTTTGTTCCATAAAAGTTCTAGCATAAGCGTAATTTGGCTAGCAGATTGTTGGAAAAAAATGTTGATTTAAAAAAAAAAAAAAAAAAAAAAAAAAAAAAGAGGCCCTTTCTTTATAAAAACAAACTAGCAGGGCTGGTCGCCAAATTTTCGCCCAAAACTGACAAGTTACCATAATTCAAAGATTAACCGAGACTATTTTCTGGAGGTCGCATATTCCAAATTAATTTTAATCATACATATTTGTTTTCTAATAATGCAAATATTTAATAATTTGTGTAGATATATAGTTTTAGTCAGTTTTCCTTTTGAATTCTACATTTAAAGTATCTTTTACGTAATATGGCTTTTTGTGCTTTAGCAACATGCTGTAATATTTAACGAAATCGGAGACATTTGAAAAGAAAATTAATGCATAGTGCTTTTGAAAGACTACACGAATTAAGCCTAAAGAAAATTTATTTTGAGGCAGAGAACGAAATTGAAGCTGACAATAATACATCAAATGTGAATGATTTTGAAATAAAACTCACAAGTGACAATCCCCCTGAATGACTTAAGTGTAAAGATAAACAAAAATGTATTGATAATTTGAAGAACAAAATAATATCCTTGGAAAATTGTAATAAAATATTCAAAAACAGAGAAAAGAAAAATTTTAGAAAGTTTGCTCAGCGAGAAAGAAGGTGGATGACATCTAGAAAGAAATTTGTATCGGAAATTCAGAAATTAAAATCCCAAACAGCGAAATTGATAAAAGTATAGTTTAGGGTACCCCTCGGCGATTTTTGGCAGTACATGGATATCGACTTTGTGCAATTCTTTGAGTCTTTATTTTGGCTTGCGAAGCGGCAATTTTTGGCAAAAAATCGCCATTACACAAAGCCAAAATAACAAGACAAACAATTGCACAAACTCGGTATCCATGTACACATCAACTTATTTTCACTAAAAAAAAAAAAAAAAAAGAATTGTACATAAATGGCATTGTGCACTCCGTTAACTATATCCATGCACACGTCGACCTATTTTCACTCAAAAAAAATCTCCAAATTGCACAAAAATGGCATCGTGCACTCTTTTAACTTTATCCATGCACATGTCGACCTATTTTCACTTAAAAAAAATCTCAAAATTGCACAAAAATGGCATCGTGCACTCTTTTAACTTTATCCATGTACACATCGATACATTTTCACTTAAAAAGTCAAAGGAGCACCAAATTCTACAATATAGGCAAACAAAAAATACATTTTAAACAAAACAATAAAATAACATGAAAAAGGAAAAACATGTTATACATTTAAGCACTACCAAAAGCAAATAGTCACCATGATTTTCGAGTTCGCTTCGTACACCCAGAGCCACGTAAAAATCAAAATATCAATCATACTAAAATGACTTTTTTCAAACCAGGTACTTTTTCTGATCGAAAGCTTCACATAGTGACCATCTGAACCTTTCTTCCTACAAACCCATTCAAATCCATCTAAATGGTTTTAACACACACCACAAAAACGCTTACAAAACATTCCATGATTCAAAATTTCCCAAAACCATGCACCCGATTACGTCACAATAGGGTTTCCATAACATTCAACTAGTCAGGCTACCATAAATGAAACAACTTCGCCATAATACAAGGGGTACCTTAAAGTCTACTCTACCCGCGAAATTTAGGAAAAAACAGCACAGATTGGGGAATTTGGAAAAACGTCTAAAGGGGTGTAAATCTTCAAAAAATTGTGATTTCAAATTTTTGAATTTTCAAATTCTCTACACTTTTACTTTTCTAAAAATCTAGTTTTCATTTGTCATCTACTGCTTTGAGCAATGAGGATTTTTACATAAAAACGCGTTTTTCTCCAAACGAGATTATTTTTATATTCGATGTGCTTTTTCTCAGGAACTATTGCTCACAGGTATCTAAACTTTTTACGGCTTATTTATTAGGTTCCCTAATATTTACTGAAGTGAGGGCTTTTTGTAATAAACTTAAAAGAATTTTTTTTTAAATTTTTATGTGTGAGAAAAGTGCTAAATTTTACTATGCCTAACAAAATATTCTGTAATTTACTCTAAAATTCAAAATGCTTCAAAAGCTCATTTCAGTATAATCAGATAGGTATATCTACAGAAAAAATTTCAAGATTGTACCTACAGCAGATTTTGAGGAAAGGTACATCGAAAATGGCCAATTTAACATTGTTGGTATAGGGGTTTTTGATACCCCTAAAGCATATTTTTACAAAGACGCAGATTAACGCATTGCTAGAAAAGAAAGAAAAAATCAGGTGGACTAGTGAAAATACTTCACGTTGCACTGTCATAAGAGCTCTGTAGAATGCGTTTCTTAAATAGAAATGCATTCCAAAAGGCAAAAAAGTACATTGCTTTGAATATGGTAGCCAATAAATAATATTTCAACAACTTGTAGTTGCATTGTGACTGTACAAGAAAGCATATATAATGTTTTGATTTGAAATATTTCTAGATGACATATTAGAAGTTAATAGCGTGAAGCATAATTCAAATGAGAACTAATTTTGTTAAGTTATTGTTATTTTATTAAAGTTATTTTTATTGTATCCTGTGTTATTATTGAGTCGATTTTGTGCTAGCTTAGGCATTCTAGAATCAAATATAATAGTATAACATTAAAGTAATTGGCCATAAGAAAACCTGCCTCCTTAACCCCCACTTCTGAAAAATTAAATAATTTTTTTAGGCACTGTGAGTAAAGTTGTTTTGTCCAAATTAAGATAATAATCTTAATGCATTTATTTAAATGTAATATTAATGTAAGCCTAAGTTACAAAATTATTTAAAAAAAAAATATGTTGTTATATTGAATCGGGAGAAAAATATGCCAATGTAAAATTTACAATTCGGCTGAAACTCAAGCAGCAGAAATTTTGAAAACTATGCCAATTTAAGGTTATTTTTTTGATTAATTTTAAACAGCTGTTATTATAGTTATCTTAGAAGCAGTACAGTTCTCTTAGTTAACATGCAGATAAAGAAATGATTAGAATTAAACAGGCATTTAAAGAAAAAAAAAAAAGGGAACTTTATGCTAAGAGTAGCGCATTTTATCTGCTGTTTTAAAACTGAGTAAGTACTATTAAATTTTTTAATGTTCAGTGTAAAATGTATACTGCAGTTTCTTCTAAATTATAGCTCAGTAAGATTATCTCTTCTAAATTATAGCCATCTTTCGCATACAGCTCATTTTAAACGCTGGTTCTTCAGATTTAAAACGCTAATTTCTATGTTGTCAGTTGCATCTCCACGCTCAGTGTTATCATGGCTACGTCATCACTCCCCACCGCCTGTTTCAGGGGGAAAAGCTCTATAAGCTAGCCCTTCTCTTTTAAGTCCTGCTCTGGACACACCTCAAAATGGAAACGGTTTGTGCAATCTTTGTAAAGTTATACCTGCATACTCTCCTAGGTCTAAAAAATTTTTCGTAAAATTCCAACTTTAAAGAATAGCGTGCCGGAAAGGGTTAACTGTTGTCTGTTATCTAGTACACAAGGATACATCCCCCAAAATAACATCTTTGACTTTAACCCT